AATTTTTTTTTTGAAATAAATTGTTTTTCATTTTATTTTGAAAAGTAAATATTAATTCTGAAAAGTAATTTTTTAATAATTAATACCAATTAATATTGATTTTTTTCAATTAATATTTATTTTTTTCTTTTTCTTCAGAAATATACAATTTTTTTTTATTTTTTAATTAATATAAAAATATACAATATGAATTTATTAATAATTAATACCAATTAATTTTTCAATTAATATTGATTTTTTTTCTTTTTCTTCAGAAATATATAATTTTTTATTTTTTAATTAATATAAAAATATACAATATGAATTTATTAATAATTAATACCAATTAATTTTTCAATTAATATTGATTTTTTTTCTTTTTCTTTAGAAATATACAATTTTTTATTTTTTAATTAATATTAGTATTTGAGTGTTGACGAGAGCATTCAAATAATAGGCCTGTTTGGTAGAGTTTATAAGCTGTTTATTTCAACTTTTAACTTAATTTAAGTTAAAATATTGTGTTTGGTGCAGTACAAAATTTCAACTCAGTCTAATTCTATAAGCAAAATAATTTTTTCAAATCTTAAAATCATCAAGCTGGTTTGTGCGGGTTGGACGAGCCAGCAGCCAATGGCACCCTACCTTGAACCCAATTCAGGTTTTATTAGCAAGCCCAACTCTATGTCATCCAATCCATCCCCAAACCAGTCCTATTACGGTCGGGCCGGGCCGGGCCGGGTGGATCAAACTCTCCTCCCCTTGAATCCGTTTACACTCGGGTTGGGTTTTGTGAACAGAGGAGCAAACTCGTACCAATTCCTCTCGCCGGGTAGATCCAAATGCTCCCCTCTGCAACTCTCTTTCTTCTTCAAAAAAACACCGCCGCCACCGCCACCGCCACCGCCACCGCCCTTCTCCTCAAAACCCTAACCACCACCACCACCACCACCACCAACCATGGAACCCCCACCAACACAAGCATCGGCAGCAGCCGAGGCGCATCAAAAGACGACTACTTCGCAGCAATCCACCACATCTCCAACATCGTCCGCCGCGACATCTACATGGAGCGAACCCTAAACAAGATGCGAATCTCCTCCTCCACCGTCACCTCCGAGCTCGTCTACCGCGTCCTCCGTAGCTGCTCCCACACCGGCGCCGAGTCCTTCCGCTTCTTCAACTGGGCTCGCTCTCACCACCCTTCCTACGACCCCACCACCCTCGAATTCGAAGAGCTCCTCCGAACCCTAGCTCGCACTCGCCATTGGGAAACCATGTGGAAAGTCGCCGAACAAATGAAATCTCACAATCTCCCTATCTCCCCTGACCTCATCTTCTTCATCATCGAACACTACGGCAAGCACGGCCTCGTCGATCAAGCCGTCGAGCTTTTCAACAAATCGAAAACCTTCAGTTGTCCCCAAAACACTCAGATATATAACTCGCTTCTCTTCGCTCTCTGCGAGGTCAAGAATTTCCAGGGCGCTTATGCTTTGATTCGGAGAATGATCCGCAAAGGAGTTGTACCGGACAAGAAAACCTACTCGATCCTCGTCAATGGGTGGTGCTCGGCGGGTAAGATGAAGGAGGCGCAAGAATTCTTGTCGGAGATGAGTCGGAAGGGTTTCAATCCACCAGTTCGCGGCCGCGATCTTCTCGTCGATGGATTGTTAAACGCAGGTTATCTCGAAGCAGCGAAAGAGATGGTGAGGAAGATGACCAAAGAGGGTTTCGTGCCTGACATCGAAACCTTCAATTCTCTATCCGAAGCTCTGTGTAAATCAGGGGAAATCGAATTCTGCATTGAAATTTACCATACTGTGTGTAGATTAGGGCTTTGTCCCAACACAGACACGTACAAAACCCTAATAACCGCTGCTTCGAAAGCTGGTCGAGTCGATGAAGCTCTTGCGATTCTCCATAGATCAATGGAAGATGGGCAGAAGCCATTTCCGAGCTTGTATGCTCCGATTCTGAAGGGACTTTGCAGGAGAGGACAATTCGATGATGCGTTTAGCTTTTTCAGTGATATGAAAGTGAAAGGGCATGAACCGAATCGACCTGTGTATACAATGTTGATCAAGATGTGTAGTCGAGGAGGGAGATTTGTAGAGGCAGCGAATTATCTGGTGGAGATGACTGAGATGAGTTTGTCGCCATTGTCAAGAACTTTTGATATGGTTACTGATGGGTTGAAGAATTGTGGGAAGCATGAATTGGCTAAGAGGATTGAGGAATTGGAAGTCTCTCTCCGGGGTGTTTGAATGTCACCTGGAAATTTTTTTTTTAAATTCCACCCAGTAACATGTTACATGATTCAAATTTTGATATGATCGGAATGGAGTTTGTCTAGGTCGTCATATTAAAAGGGGCAATTTTGTTTTACCAATGAGAAATCTTCTAATAGTAAATGTATTTTTTTTTTCTTCAAATTAATCATTTATAAAGTACATTTTTATGAGTATTATGATCTAATTTTTACATTTTGTGATAACAAACTAAACTCTTCTTAAATTTTAGTTCATTATGTTTTAGAATCTAAAAGAAATATATTGAAGAAGAAAAACTTAGGAACAGTTTAGATCTTAATTCATTGTTTTAGCATTTTCATCTACAATGTGTAATTGCTTCTGAAACTAAAACAGCTAGCGACTGACACACACAATGTGTATAATTCAAGTAAGTTAAAATTTGATTGTCCCTCTCTTGCGATGCTCTCTCTAGGGCATCTCTGGTAGGGGTTGGGTCTTGCCCTTCGGTGCAAGGTTTTTTTCTCCGTCTAGGGTGACGACTGGGGCAGTCGTGTTGGCGCTATGGTCGACTCTATTACCCATCTTGCCAGTCGGTTAGCTCTTACGGCGGATGAAGAGGATACTGTGGTAGTGGATGAGTTGCTAACCACGTCCTTTGTAGAGAGGGCTGGATTAGGTTTAGTGGGTAAGGTGCTGACCACTCGACCTTTCAATGTGGAGGCCATGAAGTCTACGCTCATGACGGTTTGGCGTCCAGCGAAAGGTATGGATTTTCACGTCATTGGGATGAATCTATTCCTTTTTCAATTTCACCACCTCGCGGACAAACGTCGGGTGCTACTTAATGGCCCCTGGAGTTTTGACAAACACCTTATTCTCTTGAATGAGGTGGATGTGCATCTCCAACCCTCCAAGGTTCTACTCTCTGAGGCTACCTTTTGGATCCAGGTTCATAATCTGCCTCTTATCAGTATGACTAAGGAGGTGGGTTACTTGATTGGGAATAAGATTGGCTCTATAGTGGATGTTGAATATGGGCCTGGTGGAATGGCAGTTGGCCGGTATTTGCGCATCAGAGTCACAATTAATGTGGCTAAGCCTTTGCACCGGGGTATGAAGCTTGCAGTTCATAACCGGGAGTCCGTTTGGGTGGATTTTAAATATGAAAGACTACCTAACTTTTGTTATTGTTGTGGTGTTTTGGGGCATAGCGAGAAGGAGTGCAATACTTTGCTGTCACAACTAGAGACTGGAACTGGTAAAGCAGTACAATATGGACCATGGTTGCGTGCAGATGTTCAAAAGCCTCGACCTCGCCCTACGTCTCCTGTTGCGAGCCCCAGTCAGAGCAGGGGTAAGGTTGGTGCTACTGGGTTGTCGGGGCCGAAGCCGGCACTCCGCCGAGAGGAGGATCCAGGTGTGGTTGTGTCTTCGCCTACTTTGGAAGGAGCCTCTCTATTTGGAAAGGATGATCAATCGGCGTCAAAACAGGAGAAGATTTTGGCCTTGACAGGGGAAGGTGGGGATTTCTTGCCTTCTCAGCAGGAGACTGAGCGGGACAGGTTGCTGCATGTTGAATTTTTGAACTCTGGGCCTACTGACTGTGGGCTAGTGGGGAGAAAAGTGGATTCTTTTTCCCAGAAGCCCATTTAGGATAATGGGTTATTTCATGATGCTCTCCATAAGGCCCATTCTATTGGCTACAACTTTGTTGTGACTAAGGGGGACCCTGTGAGCTTGGGCTCGTCTGGGTTGGCTAACTGTGTCGGCCCACCCTTACCCGCTCACTTGATGGATTTAGATCAAGGGTTGGTGCTACAGTCTCCAACTTTGGTGAATAGAGAAGAACCCCTTGTTTCTTTAGCACAAGCTGGTAGGGTGGGAAAGAAATTGAAGAAAATTGCTCGTAACCACAAAAGGGATTTTGGGTCTGGTGCACTATACGTGGGTGTGAAGCGGAATTTGATTGATAAGGAGGTACAGGCCGATGACGGTGACTCAAAAGAGAAGCGGGCTCGACTGGGTGCTCTCGTGGCCGGTCCTGATTCAACGGCGGAGGCTGGGTCCCAGCCCCGCCGACAGCCATGAAAATCATCTGTTGGAACTGTCATGGGCTTGGGAACCCACAGACAGTTCGTTTTCTTCAACTTTTGTTGAAGAAGGAAGTTCCTACCTTGGTTTTCCTGGTGGAGACCAAACTTGATGCTCGAGCTATGGAGCGGATTCGCTGTAAACTTGGTATGCAGGGGTGCTTTACGGTTGATCGTGTGGGGCTATCGGGGGGTTTAGCCTTATTGTGGGTTGGTGAGCTTCAGATACAGATTAAAAGCTATTCAAGGGGCCATGTTGATTCAATAATCCTCACTGAGTCTGGGGCTACATCATGGCGGTTTACTGGGTTCTATGGAAACCCGAATGCTTCTTTGAGGGGTGATTCGTGGGAACTGTTGCGACGATTTCAGGATCAGATGAATCTGCCGTGGGTGTGTGCTGGAGATTTCAACGAGATTTTGTATGCTCATGAAAAATATGGGATGGCGGTGAGAAGTCAAAGGCAGACGGATTGCTTCCAGCAGGTCCTTTCTGATTGTGATTTAGCTGATTTGGGCTTTGATGGGGCGGCTTTTACATGGTGTAATGGCCGGATGGGTGGTGGTTTGATTCGTGAACGTTTGGATAGGTGTGTGGCTAATGGGAGGTGGTTTACTTTTTTTCCGTTGGCTAAGGTCTATCATCTGGGTGGTACATCGTCTGACCATCTCCCAATATTATTAGACCTGGAAGGGATTAAAGCTCAGATGGCTCAGAGGCCGAAACTCCAGAAGTTGTATCATTTTGAAGCAATGTGGTTGCGAGAGGATGATTGTGAAGGAATCATTACAAGGGAATGGCATCAGAAAAGTAATCTCTCTGGTGTTGAGCTGGTGACCCGTAAATTGCAGGCAGTGGCTTCTCAATTGCAAGCTTGGAATTGGCGGGTTCTGGGTAATGTGCAACGAAGTTTGAATTTAAAATTGGCAGCTATTCAACGGTTACAAGCTCTGCCTATTCCTAGTGATGCTGATTTGGCGGAGTTACGTCACGTCCAACTAGAGGTAGATGAGCTTCTTGAAAAAGAATCGGTGATGTGGGCTCAACGGGCTCGTGCGAACTGGCTGAAGGATGTGGATAAAAACACTGCCTTTTTCCATGCGAAAGCTTCCCAACGGCAGAGGAAGAAAGCTATATCTGGTCTGGAAAATGGGAGAGGTGAGTGGTGCTCGAAGCTAGCTAAATTGGAAGAGATTGTGATCAGCTATTTTCAAGATTTGTTTACCACCCATAATCCTCGGGATATGGATGAGGTAGTTGACTGTATTACTCCCTCTATACTTGCAGGCATGGCTCAGCGTTTGACTAGGCCTTTTGTCGCAGACGAGGTTTGTCTAGCCTTGTTCCAGATGCACCCCACAAAGGCCCCTGGGCCTGATGGTACTCCAGCTCTTTTTTTCTAAAAATTTTGGGATTTGGTGAGTGGCGATGTGTGTCGGGCCGTGTTGGGAATTTTGAATGAGGGTCATGATGTTTCTGTGATTAATGATACATATATTGTTCTCATACCAAAATTGAAACACCCAAAACTGTCGAGTCAATTTTGTCCAATCAGCCTTTGCAATGTTGTGTATAAGCTAGTTTTGAAGGTCTTAGCTAATAGGCTTAAGAAGGTGTTGGATACAGTAGTGTCTGTAAATCAGAGTGCCTTTGTCCCAGGACGGGCGATTACCGACAATGTGTTGACGGCATTCGAAGTGTTCCACTACCTTAAGAATAAGAGATTGGGCAGAATCGGGTTTTTTGCTTTAAAGCTTGATATGAGTAAGGCCTACGACCAGGTGGAGTGGGGCTTTTTGGAGGTGGTTATGATCAAGATGGGCTTCCCATTAACTTTTGTTGGATTGGTGATGCACTGTGTATCGAGTGTCCCTTACTCCGTGCTTCTGAATGGCAAGCCCACACACTACTTTCGGTTTTCGCGAGGGCTCCGACAGGGTGATCCTATTTCACCGTATCTTCTCCTATTGTGTACTGAGGCATTGTCGGCGCTGATACGACGGGCTAAAGTAGAAGGACGCCTTTTAGGCATATCCATTAGTCGAGGGGGACCTCAAATTTCCCATCTTTTTTTTGCCGATGACAGTTTGTTGTTTGCTACGGTGACAGACCCATCGTTGAATACCGTTCAAGCTTTGTTGCGGAAATATGAATTGGCCTCTGGGCAACGCGTGAATTTTGACAAATCTGGGATATGTTTCAGTTCGAATGTGCGGCTGGAGGAGCAGGTTTGTCTTTCAGCTATAATGGGTGTGGGCCATTTGGTGACTACCGGGAAATATTTGGGGATGCCGTCTGTTGTGGGTCAGTCCAAAAAGGCAGTGTTTGGTTACATCAAGGACAAAGTGTGGCAGCGTCTTAATGGGTGGAAGAAAAAATCTTTGTCAGCAGCGGGACAAGAAATTCTGATTAAAGCAGTCGTTCAAGCTATCCCAACGTATATCATGTCTTGTTTTGAATTGCCGGATGGGCTGTGCCGTGAGATTAGTGGTATGATTGCTCGTTTCTGGTGGGGTCAACGTGAGGAACGGCGCAAGATCCATTGGTGCAGTTGGCCAACCCTTTGTATGGTGAAGACTGATGGTGGGATGGGTTTCAGATCTATAGTGGCTTTCAATAAAGCTCTACTGGCTAAGCAATCTTGGAGACTCCTTCAATTTCCGAATAGTTTGGTGGCCCAGGTAATGAAAGCCAAATATTACCCCCACGGCTCGATTCTTGATGCACCTCTGGGGGCCAGTCCGCCCTTCTTGTGGTGGAGTATTTGGAATGCGTAGTCTCTCTTGCTGGAAGGATTACGATGGCGAGTGGGTAATGGGGCTCAAATTTGCATTTGGAAGGATAAATGGGTTCCGCGGCCTTTTTTTTCAAAATCTGCTCCCCACCTTCTTACTTGGGTGTTGATGCTACAGTGAGTGCCTTGATTGATCATGATCTGGGAAACTGGGATGAGGGCATGCTGGGCGCTTGTTTCCCCCCCTCTGAGATTGAGGTTATTAAATTAATCCCTATCTGTCCATTTTCGGCGGAGGACGTATTAGTGTGGCATTATACCAAACAAGGTCATTTCTCGGTTAGGTCAGCTTACCATCTTAAAATGGGTATTCGCAGCAGATCTGAGCATGCGTCGTCGTCGAATGGTGGGCAGGATTGGGCTGGTTTTTGGAAGAACTTCTGGAATATGTGTATTCCTGGTAAGATCAAAGTTTTCGGTTGGAAATTGTGCTTGGAAATTTTGCCTGTACGCTCCAAGTTAAGGGCATGGCAGGTCTTAACTAATGCTGATTGTGGTCTCTGTCACCGAGCTACTGAATCAATTCAACACTATTTTTTTGATTGCCCTTTTGCAAACAAGGTGTGGGCCTGTAGCAGTCTCGCCCAGATTGCTCATCGTCAGCGGATTGGGACTTTGTTCGACTAGCTTTTAGAGTTCTTTTTATCTGTTGATTTAGTAACGGGGAAGTTGTTTTGGGTAATGTGCTGGTGCATCTGAACACATCGCAACCAAGTGGTGTTCAATAACAAGGCCCAATCTGTGGTGGAGCTCGCTCGGTATGCATATGAATATTTTCAAGAAGTTTGTACAGTTCAGACTCGTGTTCGGGTGCCGCAGCATGTTCCTATGCCAATTCGTTGGTCTCCTCCCGCGGAAAGGCTGTTCAAAGCTAATTTTGATGGGGCTTGCGATGTAGCCGAAGGTTTTATTGGTGTTGGGGTTGTGGTTCGGGACCATACGGGTTCAGTCCTAGTTGCCATGTTCGCCAAAAGGGTGTCAGGAATGGAGGTGGATTGCATTGAGACTTTTGCAGCGCTGGTTGCTATTCAGTTCACGTTGGATCTGAGGCTAAACAACATAGTTTTTGAAGGTGATTCCCTAATGATAGTTCGCACCTTTCACTCCGGTTCGAAGTCCTTGGCATCCTTTGGGCATTTTGTGGAGCAGGCAAAATCTCTACTGCCCGAATTTCATTCCTGGGCTATTCAACATGTGAAGAGGGAAAGGAATTCCATAGCCCATTGTCTCGCTCGGATGGCTTTTGCTTTGGAGGATTTTTCCATATGGATGGAGGACGTTCCGCTCTCTTTACGCTCCCTCGTTAGGAGGGAAGCGTCTCTTTGATTATGTTTTTTTCTTGTCTGTTATTTTTGTTGGCCATCTAAAAAAAAAAAAAAAGTAACTTTTTAATTTTTAAAATAAAATATGAAATAAAAAAATTTAATAGATTTGGCATGACCTTTTAATTTTTTACAAAAAAAATTGTACAAAACATAAAAAAAAAAAAAAAAAATCTTTGACTTTTTAATATAGGTCACAAGCTTTTTGATTGTTTTAGTAACTTTTTAACTTTTAAGCTAAAAGTGTTGCAGGCCAAACAAAGCCTAAATATATTAAAATTGAAAAGTTTCATCTTTCATAGATATATATATATATATATATATAGGTAAACGTCCCAATAAAATGTCCTTACCACTCAAATTAAAGGCATTATTTTGGATCATCAAATCAGTGAAGGAAAAGTAAAAGGGATAATGCATACTAATTAACTGAAGAACTCTCTCTCTGGAGAAAACACCCTAAAGAGAACCTAACATGAAACTTCACATCCATCCTTTCCAGCAATAAATGTATACTTGCACAATTGTATATCAGATTCATACAATGCATAAATTAAATAACAGCACACCCTACATATTTCTACCCCTGGTTGGACGGCAAACATGATTTCTTTTACGAGCATGTTCTTCACTGTGGTGCTGCGTCCGACATGAATATCCATACCAGCAATCTTCCCTCTGAGTTGCATCTGGTGGTAGAAGCTACAAAATACCCACGTAGAGTAGAAACAAATGAGGTTAAAAACATGGTTACTCAATATATGATGGAACAAAATGTGCAGGATTGTACTTGTAGAATCAAGCATCTTTTATTAATTGCATATTCTATTTTTGGTAAATATATTTTAAATTAATCATTGCAATAACATCACTACTCAAAATTAATGCAATTCCATGACAGGAGAAAAAAAAACACCTTAAAAAATACCATGTAGAAACTATCAAGAATCGAGATAAAATTTTCATACATGTCAGTTGGATAAGAAATATGGATTATATGATTTAGTTAGAAACATTGCAAAACGAACCAAAGTAACTCTAGCTCAACTCGTGTTTAGCTTGTTAAAAACTAGTTCAAGATCGGTTCATTATGTAAGCAAATCAAGCTTGAACAAGTTTTGAAGGAAAGCCACCAGCACTTAAATGATACCTTTCTATATACTAAAGATTTTATAAACCTAATGTTCTTGGTTTAGTATAGAAAAGACAAAAAGTAAAACACGCCAGTCGAGAGAAACCATAGTTAAATATGGTAAGAACATTGAACTAAATGCTTGCTGGCAGCTGATCTATAATGAGCATAACAAATGACCATAGATTAACCAGGAATCAGGAAATCAACAGTTTCATTGATGATTGGTGATGAAAAATACTGGAAGTATGAAAATACATACATATTTTGGCACCGAAATCCGGAACCAGTACAAGAGGAATGAAACTAATTTGTCATAACAATCACTGCAACCAGAAAGAAAAGAACAATCAGATGAATGCAACACTAAGACATTCTTACCAATTTTTGCAGAAGGGAAAACATAACAAAAAAGAAGTATCACAGTGAAGAAAGCATGATTAAACAGAAACTAAGATAATAAGAAGTTCGTAATTAAATAAATTAAAAGAATTTCTGAGCAGACAGCTGTCCAGCCATCAGCACTGAACTTCCCAAGGGTTGTAGCACCTAACCTAGCTTGCAAATTCAACCAAGCAAATCTAGCATTAAAAAAGGTGGATCAGTCAATTCACACTCCAATAAAAAAAAAACAATACTCCTGGTCTTCATGTTTTGACTTCATTGAAAATACAAGAACAAACAACACGAGAATAAAGAGAAGCGAAAAAGATTCATGGTACCTTAATAGACAGATTAGCATGCAACAGCAGGAAAGTTCAAGACAAGTGGGAGAAAGAAGACAGAAAATAGACCATACAATGAAAAACAACAGACGAAGATAACAGCAATGAAGACGACGAACAGAAAAGAAGAAATATACGGACTGGAATCTACCTTTGAAAGACAACAGAGAACATCATTAAAAAAAAGAATAAAAAAAAGAAAGGAAAGGCATGGTAGTAACCCAGAGAAGAAGTTCAGCAGCAAAGAAAATTGAGATATGTTTGGTGTATAGGTTAGAATGAACTATACGGACTAGAATCTAGTTCTGAAAGACAACAGAGAAGATCATAAAAAAGAAAGCATGGTAGTAACCCAGAAAAAGTTCAGCAGCAAAGAAAACTGAGATATGTTTGGTGTATAGGTTAGAATGAACTATACGGCCTGGAATCTAGTTCTGAAAGACAACAGAGAAGATCATAAAAAAGAAAGCATGGTAGTAACCCAGAAAAAGTTCAGCAGCAAAGAAAATTGAGATATGTTTGGTGTATAGGTTTGAACTATCTACAAGTGCATGAATACAAAATAAAACTTTTTCTTGCAAATATTTTGATATAGGGATCTGATAACGATAACTCCAATTTTAAAATCTTAAAAACAGGTGAAGTGAAGACAAAGAGATGCACTAGATGTACCCTCATACCAACAACTATATCCAGATTAGCCCTTAAGAAATTTGAGATCGCTTGATGGATAGGTTAGAGTGAACGACCAGCAAGTGCATGAACTCAAGATAAAACTTACCTGCAAATATGCGTCGCTGCAGTTATCATCTCAGCATGATTCAACGGCATCCTTGTTCGATCTACAGGGAAAAGAAAACCAGCAATTAATAAAATGATTAATGTCATCTATCAACTAGTAGTTCCCCACATCAGTACCATTAAGTCAGAATCAATTCATTTCTGTATGACACCAGGACAATTGATATCAATTTAATTCTCGACTTTCGTTGATAATTTAAATTTGCAATCATATGCAGAATCAATCATTTATGGGTTTCAAGTTTATTGTTCTCAAAGGCTACATAATTCCAGCATAGGAATAAAATCCCAGATCAATACAGAAGTTTTAGCAACCAATTTACCAATTTGTGTGTAAAAGGACACAATAGAAACTTTGACAACACAGCCTCCAAGGATGTCTTGGTAGCAAAATAGTCTAAAAGACAAACCAAAAGAATGCTGTAAACATCAGGATTAACATTATAAATAGACTCTTCTACTCCCTCCCCACCGAACAAAAATTGGCACTTGGATTCTCTAATATCCGATGATGCAAGAAGAAGAAAAAGAAGAAGCTCCTACTTAGTAGTAAAGAATGTTTTCTTGCTTCTCACATGGACAGGGAGAATCCCTTTTTCCAATGTGACATACTCGCTCCCAAAACGCATATCCAAGCCCATGTAACATAGATGTCAACGAAAGAAAATTTGTTGACCTAAAAATACATCCGCAAATATTGAACTGCAGTTACAGAAGACAAGAGATATAATTACCAATTTCTCTGTTCTCCAACTTTGTAATCCAATCAGAGATAACATCCTGCAATGTTCTCCCAGTCTGACTGATACACCTTTCCGTAATCTATAAACCCATTGAATTGTGAGTCCTATCAATCCATAAATGGTATTCATACATCAACAAATAATAAAACAGAAAGAATGAAAGACACATACATCTTGTTCATGCTGGTTATTTTCATGAGCCAATTGTGGAATTCTAGTGATGGTATGTTCTGAGATCTGCATGGCATACATATGACATGTTTCAGTCCATAGCAGGCACACTAATATACATCAAAGATAACACATTTATATAAAATAATGGGGCCTGGTGACATCAACTATTCACATGACTGGACCCCTATTGTGCCCATATGGTAAACCCTCTCCATGAGGGAAATTAGGTAAACAAACTACCAAAAAAACAGAGGAAAGAAATAAAGAAAGAAAAACTTCATAGTTTTGTCCTTCCGGACAAACAAGTTATTGATTGAGAGCAGGGAAAACTAAAAGACAGCTTACAGGTTTTAAAGCCTCACGACTGCAAACTGGATGAGAGTCACTTTCAAAAACGCTCTGAGCACGCCAATAAGCACCACAAAATGCCCGGTCACATCCTAAACCTGAAGGTTGAAGATTAATATCCGTACATATCAATTAGAAAATACTGATAAACTTTCACTATACACACTGCATGTTTATAAATTTCAAAGTAAATTGCACTGTCAAATCAAACCAACTGGGACCATGGTGGTAAGCTAAGGTGGCGTCTGGTAAGTTGAGAGTTCCAAATTTTCTGTACAGAAAACAAGAAACATGTTTTTGTTTTGTTCTTTTGTTAAACAAAAACAAGTTTGGTACAAACATATGTTTGCAAAACATATAAAGAAAAAACCAGGACAACATGCTTGATTGAATTGCTAAAGGGGTGGCTGGTGGCTGGAGGTGGGGTAGCTGGGAACTTGTTTGTAAGCAAGTGAAAACACATTTTTCTTGATTCCTAAAATTTTGAAAAATGTTGCCATTTTTTGGAAACAAAAACAGTTCCCAAACATAATTTTCTTTCCAATTTTCTAACTTTTTAAAAATAAAAACACAAACCATAGAACAAAAATGTAACCAAACAAGCCATAACAATTACAACATTCCAGGGATTCACTGTGAAGTATGAGCAACACAAGCCCCAAAGATCCAAGGCAAAATTAAATTGATTTAAAAAAAATTTATAGTGTAGTCATGCCTCTCCTAGAAAACCAACTACACAAAATAGCCAAAGAAGCAGTCTTCAACCTATATACAAGTTCCTCCACACCCGTGAAGGTCCTCCCCTATTATGCTTCCTCCAAATAAACCACATCAAGCAAAGCAGCACAAGGACCCAAGCCTTTCTTCTACGCTTCCCCACTCTACTGCCCCACCACCCAAACAAGACACTCACCACCTCCCTCTGAAAACACAAATAACCCCAAAACCAATCCCCACAAATCCCCAAAGCCTCACAATGAATGAGAAAATAAGAGACAGATTCCCCATTTCTTTGCTCATTCCACGCCAATTGATTATAATCCATTGCCTCCGAATTAGGGTTGTCAATGGTGAGGATCTTCCTGTGAACTGTGGTCCATACAAAGAAGGCCACCTCCGACAGGGTTCCCACCTTCCAAACACCTTTCCATAGAAAGCTCATCATCCTACTCGTCATTAATGTCCTACAAAAGACTTGACACCAAACCTCCCACTCCGTGAAGTGACCTATCAAGATCAGTGATAGAGAAAAGGTTTGGTTGATCTAAAGTGCAGCATGTATAAATTAGTTGGATGATGGTAATTTGAAACTTGGTTGTGCCAAAATGACAAGTCACTATTGGAGTGGTACAACCTAAAAAGGGTTTTTTTGAACTGTAGCAAAACATAAAAAATGGCTTTGGCAAGGTCATTTTGGTTTTGACCATTGGATTTGCTCTAAATGTTCAAATAATAGTGACAAGCTAGCGCTAATGTCCTCAGCACTTCTTCCAGAGCCCGCACACTTACAGATAACACATTCTAAGATGTAGATAAGTAAATAAACAGCAACAAGAAGTATGTAGAGAAGAATTTACAGTGCTGTGGTACACTTAGATTGTTTCTAGAAGGCATCATTCCTCCACAAGCTTGACACTGCAAATGAATAGTGTTCTGGTTGCACTGGAATCCAGCAAGTTCAGTGCCTAAGAGATGCATATGATATGAGTCAGTTAAAAAAAAGGAAGTCTAAAAATGACAATAAAATAAGTATAACAACTCTATTGACAAATATTCATAATTCAATGAATTGTATCCAATGAAAATCACAAATACAGCCCATGTTATAAACTATGAGAAAATACTGAACATCCTTAAGTGGTTGAAAGTGATGGAAATATAGATATCACATAACATATTTTGCTAATTGAACTAGTTAAGGATTTAGCAACACATGATCAAGCAGTTGATTACCACATTGAGGGCATGGTAGATCTACAACATCACTTTCTTCATCTGGTGGTAAACGTGCCCCTTCCATACGTCCAACATTTTTTCCCCAGTGCTAATGACCTAACAAAATTAAAAGTAAAAAACAATCACTAAGCATCTAAAATTATTTTATTAAAGTTGCAACTCAAGCAGGTTGAACTCGAATAACACAAGCCCAATCCAATTTCTGTTCTGGCTTGGACAAATTTTTTTCATTTAACGGCTGGTCTTGGGCTGAAATTTGTCAGCCAAGTTAAGTTCAAGCTGGGCCTGGACATAAGCATTAGGCAACTCGAGCCTACCAAAAGTATACGCAAAGTCATGCTATAATATTTGAAGGTTCTAAAAAAATTGTAATTGTAGAAGAAAAACTAGAATATCCCACGATACAAGATGACATTGATTTCAAATCATTAAGTGCAATGGCAAAACATTCTTGAGTGAAAAAATTACTCTTAGCTATAAAAAAAATTTCACGTTTACCAATATATACAAATGTCTGCTGACCGTTAACAAGGCTAAAAATTTCCTACTTCTGCCTAAAACTGAAAAAGATACATCATGATATGCCATAAACAAATAACTCAATTCCTGAAGACACTGATGCGATCAAAATATGCAAGAAAGGACAAAAAAGTCACTCATAAATTTGACACATTGTAATAAAATAAATAGAAAATAAATAACACACAAATAGCTTAATTAAAGCACAAAACACTAAACATGGTTGGAATACTGCAACATTAACATTCACAAGAAATCCACAAACTGCAATATTGAATGAACAAAGCAGTTATTCGAATTTAAGGCATATTATAAAGCATACACCACTTTAGCATATGAAAATCCATCATCAACAAAAACTTAAAAGTACAAAAAATTTTGCAAACAAACATATGGTCCTGACCAAAATAATTATGCTACAATAATAAATCATTAATTCAACTACTATGGAACGAAGAATAATACTACTCACAAGAGGCGACTTTACTGATGCATAGGAATCTAAAAGTGCAATTTCTTCATCAGAACGCTTTAGTGAAGAATCAGTTTGCAGAATATCCTGCAAGAACAAGGCATATATTTCAAAACAAAAGAAAAAAAAAACAAAAATCCAACACCAAACAAGAGCACAGCATGACATGCTCTACAAACATTAAGAATAAGAAATCAAAGCTTATGTTCGAAATTAAAACTAAAACGCATACACATGGTGCAGATTATGGATTGAAAAGAAAAGCATTATAACCATAGTGACACAAACATTGATACAAGAGAATTTTTAATTTAACTTGAAAATATGATGGAGAAACAGCCCGACAGATATGAGTATAAGTAAACTACACTCAGGGCAATTTAAGAGAGGAGCTGCTGGGAGCCCTGTCTCCCAAATTAAAACATCTTCAAACATTAACTATATTATATTTCATATGGTGTTTGTAATTATTCCTTCCAAAAATGATGAGTTGCTTACCACGGACTTTTTATTGAAAGCTTTCTTATATGAAAAACCACAAACTCCAAATTTTAGAATTAGCATTAAATTTTTCCTTCAATTTAGTTAAAGGGAAAATCCGCACTATTTTAAATATCAGACCACAGCCAATTCTCTCCGACTTCGAAATTTTCAGTACATAAGCCCTATCCTTTCACTTTGGCTTTTATTGTTCCTTTTTGGAATCTGAAAACTAATAAGCCATTGAAATTGTACTTTTAGATTATTCTCGAGATAATTTACTTATAGTCTTCAGTTATCCAAAAAAAAAAAAAAAAAAAAAAAAGAAGATAATTTACTTATAGTCATTTATCTGGCGCACTACAAATTTCCTAAAACTTCATCTTGAACATAAATGCTGCAAAAAATATTGAATTATTAAGTAAGTATTTCATTATATCCTTTTATATCATACATGTGATAAAAATGACCGTAGGGATTTAATATGGGCCCTCCTTTAACTCTAGAGCTAAAGTTCCAATGCTCTCTTATGCTCCAGCAAATTATATTTGAGTCATTCATTTTCAATATTTTTCAACATAACAATCTAACTTTGCTAGCAATTCCTGTTCGGACCATTAAAGAGCCTTCCATACATCCAACATTTTTTCACAAGTACAAATAATAATTTTAATTCACAAACACTTCTTATTCAAAGCATTAGGGGGGCATTCCATGAGCAAAATATTGTTTTGCAAGTACATATTATATGCAACGACAACAAGTATTTACTTCCTAAAACCATTCAAACCAATCAATAATTAAGACATGCTCCAGAGTCAAAAAACAAAGCAAAACAAAACAAAGCAAAAGAATAAATCAAGATTCACAGGAGTAGTAGAGACTAAGATGGATCAACCTCTTCAATGTTATGCAGAAAATGGTTCCTCCCCACAAATTGTACCACTGCTCTACATTGAGGACAAAGCACGCTTGAATGCTTCTCTTGAGACCTTCTTAGCCACTCTGAGAAACATCCGTTACTGAAAATAAAAGTGCAAAGGCTTAAGTACTACAAACATGTTCAAGTAATAATGCCTTGATTAAATACATGATTAAGTTACAAACCAGAAGTTGTGAAGGCAGGGGGCAACAGTGACAACATCATGCCAAATGTTTAAACAAATGCTGCATTTTGCATGTTCAACGTCTAAACAAATCTAGCATCAGTAAGCAGAGTTTCATATTTAGCTTTTGCAGGCATCTATAACATAAGATTCCAATACAACTTTAATAAATAATGATTACTCACCTTCAGCTGTTTTTTGCTACATTCCTCATCCATTACTTCAAACCTGTAATTCAAATAAAATTAAAGGTATCACAAGAAAACAAAGAATCAGAGAAGACACACAAGTGATAACACATCCATGTTCTTAATTGCCACCTCAACCCATGTTCTCCTTTTCCTTCCTATATTTTTTTAACCCTCAAGATAGATAAATGCACTCTTCCTTATAGTCCTAAGCATTAGTTCTACATTGCACATGACATGGCCATACCAACTTTCCTTCATTATCTTTAATCAGTGTTACTCGTAACTTCCTCCTAATGTATTCATTTCTTATTCTCTATGTTCTTGTAAACCCATCTATGGATCTCAACATTCTCATTTCAATAACATGCAACTTAAAGTCTTGACTACTAAAATTTATAAAAAAGACAAAATAAAAAGATGCGAATTTTACCTAATGAACTAAAATTTGTTGTCACCAATCACAATAGGGAAAAGAAGTTACATACACATTAACAAATGATTACCCAGAATCTTCAATTTAGCATTTTCACAACACAAATTTAAATATATATTCTTGAAATCTTAACAAAACCAACTTTTCTTCAGGAAAACCCTTAGAAAGATAGTTTCTTGCGACCAAATTTTACTATTATAAATAATCATTTTTTGTCAAAGATATTCCCCCAAGTCATTCTACTTCTAAAACCCACAACTTGTATGATTATTGCCTATTTTTCACAAAGCCCATCACATAAATTATATAAATTTATATGCACATATACAATATATATATATAGAGAGAGAGAGAATGAAGGAGGAGCGCTTACCGTCGTCGGTCTAGGTTATGCGTTGTCTCTCTCTGTCTCTCTCTCTCTCTCTCTGAAACTTCTCTGTAATTGGAACTAATCGTGTTGTCTGATCCGACCCGTGTACAAATGTCTCAACAGATAGCTTGCGATGCACTAATACCGTATAGCTTGCGATGCACAATACCGGGGTCAACCACGGTGTTTGGCAACTTGGTAGACGCCTGAGGGTTAAAGACCCTAGGATTCAATTTCGAAACCTTTAGCCCCGTTTGTTTGAGGTTATAGCAAAGGGATTAGGATTACTAATACCTTGGGACTAGTATATGGGGTGTTTGTTTTGAGAGATAGCCTTGGGACTACTAATACTTTGGGACTAACTAATACCTTGGTATTACTAATACCTTGTTTGTTTTGAGAGATGGAGAGGGTACTACTAATACCTTGGTATTACTAATACCCTTGTGGAGGGGATTCATAGTGAGGAGGTAGAGATGATATTAGAAAAATAGTAAGGGGATTAGAAATTTTTTTATTTTTTTTATTTTTTATATATTGAGAATTTTTTTTTAAATATTAATGTTTAATTTTTATATTTTTTTATTTGTTTTATTATTTTATATAAAAATAATTTAACAATTCCTCACTACTAATCCCCTCACTATCAATCCCCTCACTAATAATCCCCTCACTATCAATCCCCTCACTAATAATCCCCTCACTATTAATCCCCTCATTATCAATCCCCTCAATTCTATCTCCCAAAACAAACGGGGCCTTAGGTACGTTTGTTTTCAGAAATAGAATGAAGGGGATTGATAGTGAGGGGATTAATAGTGAAGGGATTGTTAGTGAGGGTCGTTTGTTTTCAGAGATAGAATGGAGGGGATTGATAGTGAGGGGATTAGGCTAATCTTCCCCACATAGCATAGTTAGTTAGGATGTTAAATTTAAGTTATTATTATTATAGTATTTTAGTGTGGGCCTAATGCTTTTCTATTGTACAAGTCCTGACTTAAGTGGAATTTATTTTCAAAATCTTTTGGGCCAATCTCATATGCGTAGTGCAGTTGGTTAGGAAGTTAGTCTCAAATTAAGTTGTTACTACTATAGTACTTGGTTTGGGCCTAATGCTCTCCCGTTGTGCGAGTTCTGACTTAAGTGGAGCTTGTCTTCGAAATCCTTTGGGCCAATCTCCTAAGCGTAACGCAGTTGGTTAGAAAGTTAGTCTCAAGTTAAGTTGTTACTACCATAGTACTTGGCGTGAGCCTAATGCTCTCTCGTTATGCGAGTCCTGATTTAAGTGGAGCTTGTCTTCGAAGCCCTTTGCGCCAATCTCTTAGGCGTAACGTAGTTGGTTAGAAAGTTAATCTCAGGTTGTTGCTACCAAAACACTTGGTATGGGCCTAATACTCCACCGTTGCGCGAGTCCTAACTTAAGTGGAGCTTGTCTTGGGAGGTCAGACTAAGTTCCCAGGTTAGTCTCATTCTTGGAACGGACAACAGGAACACCTTCCTAAACCTGTGGGAGAGTGGGAGGATTTTCCTGTAATAAAAAAATAAAAAATAATACCGAGGAGTTTTGTGGGAATTATTTTAAAGGGGTCATTTTTTATTTTATTTTTTTATAAGTCTTCGTTTGAGATATGAGTTGGTCTTTTGATTATTTTAGTTTGAGGCTAAAAAGCCTTGTTTGGAATGAACTTTTTGGTTTTTTTTTTTTATTTTTATGAAAGAAAAAATGAAATGATTATGGTTTGGACGCGACATTTGTCTTATTGACTTTTTGACCTATTTTGTTTTTTTGTAGTTAAAATAGCCAAAGTAGCCTATGCCAAACATAGCCTAAATCTCCTTTTTAAGTATTTTGTTCCATTTATTAAGTATTTTGTTCCATCTAATTCAAAATGTTTTTGATTATTTCAATAAACCTTTGTTTGGGATATGAGTTGGCTTTTTGGTTTTTTTGGTTATTTTAGCCTGTGGCTAAAAAGTCTCATTTTGGATAGACTTTTTGGCTTTTTTGACTTTTGTAAAAAAAAAAATGAAATGACTATGATTTGGATATGAGATTTTATCTTATTGGCTTTTTAGCCTGTTTTGTCTTTTTTATGGCTAAAATCGTCCCAACCCAACCCAACGCAAACCTTCATACCAAACGAACCCTAAGTCTCATACCTAGTAATTTGTCCAAAACACTCCTAGACATTTTTGAGCATTTATTTCCATGTCAAACGTCACAACTCAAAAACATAGGAGCAAATCACAAAATCTACGGAAAGGATTTCGAAAAACCTCATATTCTATAGCAGTTCTCATTGTCTCATCATTTGAATCCTCCAACACGACTTGCATCATCTCTGCATCCCACCACCGTCACGTCGTTGTTGGTGATTGAAACCCTACTCCAAAGTGAAGAATCAACTCTGTGAAAGTTTATATCGGTCGACTAGATGCAGACCAAACGTAAGCGCCCATATTTTTCCCTTTTTTGTTTGTATAATCATTGAATAATCATTTGGTTCAATGTGAACTTTTGCATGTGTTGTTCATATTACTGTTGTTGTTTTTTTCATTTTTCTGTGATTGTTGTTTTTGTTGGTGTTGGTGTAAGTCATCCATTTTTGACCCCTTTTTTTTTCCCTCCAAAAACAGAGAAATAGGTGTCTAATATATTGTTCATGTTCCATGATAATGTAGTGATGTCAACATTTGCATCATGTAAACATTATGTTTGTTAAGTGATTGTAATTTGTTATTATTTCATATTATTATATTGTTATTTTCTCTATTTTTGTGATTGTTGTTCTTATTAGTGTTGTTGATGGCGTTCAAATGATGTGAATCCCAAATTTTTGATTATTTTCAAGAAAAAATGAAATAGTAACCTGATATATTATCCATGTGAGTGTTCACAATATATATTTGGTTGTTTGTGATGATGTTTTGTGACTGTTTGTATCATATGAATGTTCACACTCTGCTATCCCCATTCTTGATAATTTATTTCATATTTACATTTATGTCAACCATGAACAGTGTAGCAATAATGGTTTCATGTAATATGTTTGCATTATTTTATTTGTTCTTAGCATGTTTCATGTGAATATTCACATTGTGGTTATGCTCAAGGCAATCATGATTTTATGTGATATGTTTACGATTTTTTCATTGTGTTCATTATGTTTCACATCATGTGAACATTGACACTATGTGGACATTCTTATTCTTAAGCGGTGATAATTATTAGTTGTGTTTGGTTTTCCTTTGGAATCCTGATTCCAAAGGCAAAATGGCAAAATTTTCAAATCACTTTTCAAAATTCATAACCAAACACACAACTCAAAATTACTCAAAACTTAATTCAAAAATTAATTTCAAAACTCATAACCAAACACACAACTCCAAAGTCAATTCAAAACTCTTTTGATGATATAGTGTTGAAGATGGGTTAGTGATGTGATTGTCAAATTATTTTTATAAAAAATCTAAAAAAAAATAATTTCTGTATTTAAAAATATATAAAACAAATATATATATATATATATTTTTTTTTCAAATAACAGGTTGCAATTGCAAATATAATAAAATAAAATAAAATAAAAATAAAGAATTGCATTGTTCCGTTCAACCGGCCGAACGCCCGAGAGGATGTTCGGGTGGACGACCGAGTAGACTCAATCCGCTCTTTTCAAAATTTAAAATTCAAAAATTTCTTTCAAAGCACTTTTCAAAATTTATAGCCAAACAAATTTTCTATTTTCAAAACTCAATTCACAATTCCACACTCAAATCACAACTCCAAAAAGATAATAATAATTCCAAAACTAAACCAAACGCAACCATTGTTTTTGCCCCATTTTTGTGATTGTTTTTGTTATTTTTGTTGATGGTATTCAAAAGATATGAACCCTCACTTTTTGTTTTGCCTTTTTTTTTTTCGAGAAAATAATAAAATAATTGGTTGATATATTGTCCATGTGTGTAGATAGTATAGTGATGTAAATCTTCACACTGAGTAATGATGTGATGATGTTAATGTGTACAGATATCCCACCAATTACATTGAAACCAATTTGAATGTTCACATAAATAGTCACTAATGTGCATGCCATGTAACAGATGTTGCTCCTAAATTTATCACGAAAAGGAAGAGAGATGATTACCATGTCAAAGACAATAGTGTGTCAATAGAGAGAAGCATCCACATCAACATACGTCGTGTTAACTACCAACCCTCCAAAAAGTGAACATGAAAAAGGTCAACTATAGATCTAACATCATCGGATTAGGAAAACTAATGATAAGCACCAAGTTCTCAGATCCTCAGCTAGATTGTTTAAAGAAAACGTCATTTTGGCAGTTGTTTGATGTTTTGAGGACTGGTAAAGTTGACCTCGACAAATGCATGAAGTTCAATGATGTCGTCGTATGCATGCTAGAGACGTGCAAGGCATCCAAAATCATATTTTACATCGGTGAGAAAAAGATGAATATGAATCTCACATCATTTGTGATTTTGTAAACATTAGAATACATTGGACAAAAAAATCATAATTAGTTATTTTGATTGTGCTTAATAAGACACAATAGAATATTGTCATAATATTTGCTACTACAAAGCCAATGTTAATATTCATATTGGTTTATGTTGTTTTATAATTATGTACACATAGCTATTGGTTTAATGTGACTAAATTAATTTATTTGATGTTTTATTTGTGATGTTAATATTCACATCAATAATTTGATTGTGCATAAATTATACTTTATGTTTGTGTACACACATAAATGATGGTTTGTGGTTAACGCAATGTTGATGTAGTCATACTTTTAGAGATTAAAAAATCAATGTGAACCTTCACATTTTTGTTAATTGCTTTACAATTGTGTGCACATAATCATTGGCTTAATGTGATTTGTGGGCAATACAATTTCGATGTGAACTTTAATATCACCATTCCATATTTGTAATTAACACTTTGAAATCATAGTGTCTTTATTTATATTCCAGAATTCATGTGAATATTTACATTCGTATATTTTATTGTGAACATTCACATTATGTCTGTATTAAAATTAAAAATTGAGGCTTGCGGTTGTGTAATTTGATACAATGATGACGTGAACCTTAACATTACTTTTATTACAATGGTAATGAACATAATGAAAACGTATTTGTGACACCTTAATTGTTTAATTAATTTTTAATATATATACATATATATATAAAAGTAAATAAATATAAAAAAAAAAGTAAAACAAAATACTAGAAAAATATTTAAATAGTGTGTGCTAAAATGCAATCTAATTATGAAGGTTTAATTATGTTAGAATTTGGACTCAAGGATAATTAAACAACTATTAAAACTTATTGTAGACGCGCCCGTGGGCCTCACGCTACAGTTCGGACTCGATTTGTGTCACGGTTCTTAATCTGAACCAAAGAGTCCAAATCTGGCAAATCGTTTTGAGAAACAGATTTTTGAAAAAGTAGTGCCAAACATGGACTGCTTTGCCAGATACAGAGTCGCCACCTAAATATTTTAAAAAAAAAAAAAAAAAAAAAACAACAACAACAACAACCACGTACAAACATAACCACAATGGAAGTCAGCTCGCGGTGAGTCCTCACTATGTAGTGGCACCTTTACCTCCAGAGGTTATGGCTCTATGAGGAAATGCCTTCTTAAGTGATCACATTCAAGCAAGAGTCCCTCTCCCTCAAAACCTAATTGATACTTAGACGGTTGACTTTGGTGATATTATGATGTATGTGGAGATGCCTGTGCGTATCACGGGATGACAACTGTGGGGTTACGAGACAGACATCCCCATGTACCGAGTAGAGGTGGTATGGCGATGCTTTGGCATCGAGCAAAACGGTTGGGAGTTTGAGCATCACATGCAACTGTAGTACTGTTGGGCCAATGAAGAGGACTTTTACTGGTAGCTTTGTTTACGAAAATTTGGTAAACAATAATTAAATGAAGAACAATTGCAACATTTCATTAAATAAAAATGAAAAACTTACAATGATCTGATCCAGCCTTGTAGAGGTTTACAACAACAAGATACTTGAAACTACTCCTATGAATAAAGTGCAGTACAAGAATTTGAAGTATAGAAATGTAAAGAACAAGAAATGTAAAAACTGGAAGGAAAATAAAGTAAATAAACTAATTTATGGATCTGAGTCTGGGTCTATCTTCCTGGGGCCTTCTGTAATGACCCCGACCTCAGATTAATGTTAATTCATAATTAATTATGCTTAACAGTAATTTAGGAAGGATTTTGGATTTATTTGCATGTGTATTGCATTATTTATGTGTTCCTATCTGTTTTCCATAAAATGATCTGTTCATGTCTTTGATTTTAAATTGCGAATTGAAAGCCTTATCGGCGTCCGAATCAGAAATTGACTTGATTTATGTGCTAGTTAGGATCTATAGAATTTTATAGTATGTTTAATTAAAATTCAGTTCGAAGCGATTAAATTAGATTAAATAACGTTAAATTACATTAGTCTAATTATTTACGAAATTGCCCTTGAGTGGGCCACTACCTTAGACTATGTTGAAGCCTTATTACACTTGATCATACAACACATTTCTTCAGCCATTTTGAGAGCTTCAGCCGACTAGAGAGAGAGAGATAAGAGAAATTGAGGGCTTGTTTGGTTTAATTTGAGAGATGAGTTTTAGAAAAAAATTTCTCAAAAATTGTTTGGTTTGAAAATTTTTTTAAAAAATTTTCAAAATTACTTTTTCTCTCTTACACATCAATCAATCACTTTTTCTCCCTTCTCTCTCATTCTCAATCACTTTTTCTCTCACACACATTTACTAAATTCTTCCAAAATATCAAATCATCCCAAACTCCCACAAAAAATTTATCTCTCAAAATATACAACCAAACAAATCAAAAAAATTTCTAAAACAACTCTCTCAATTTTTTTTTAAAAACAACTCTCTCAAAAACAAACCAAACAAGCCCTGAGTTCATTTAGGCATTTAGCTTGGAAACTTGAAGATATTGATGGTTAATTGCATAATTGAGCCTCTAGACTTGAAATTGAGGAGCCTAGGTAAGGATTTCATCATTTTAATTGTTAAGTTAAGTCATATATTGCATGGTTCATGGAAGTTTAGTGAGTTGAGTCTAGAATTGGCTTAATGAGTTGAATTGAAGCTTAAATAATGCATGCATGTGCATATCTTGAAGTTTAGAGTTGTTTTCATGGAAATTATTGCATGCATGTCCATATTTGGGTTATAGTCCATGAATTCATCATGTTTGGGAGTGAATTAACTCACTTGATCATGCTTTGGAAGCTTTGAAGTTGATTAAATTCATGCATGTTGCATGTTCATCATGTTCTTGATGTTTTATTTGGAAATGGTGTTTAATTGACTCACCCATGGGCTTGATTTTACAAAATTGATCTTCAAAACATGTCATGCTATGAGTTTACAAGAGTTTTCCAGAAAATTAGCTCAAAAGGATCGAATTTGATGCATTGTAGTTGAGTTTTGAGCTTGAGGTTCAAATTTGAAAATTCCAGATTTTGGACTCACGCTCGAGCGGGGAACTCCACGCTCGAGCGTACATACTGAGTTCATGCAGTCCGCTCGAGCGGGAAAAGTGACGCTCGAGCGGGAAATGCGTGTATCCAGTACTTTGCATGTGTTTACAGTCCGCTCGAGCGGGGTAATGAAAGCTCGAGCGAGGACTTGTGTATCACACTCGAACGGGTATCGAGCGCCCATCGGGTGTGAATTTCATGTATCCAGTACTTTCACCGTAGCTTGCAGTCCGCTCGAGCAGAGTAATCCACGCTCGAGCAGATTCCTTTTGTCTGCATGTCCGCTTGAGCGTAGAAGGACACGCTCGAGCGGGACCCCTGTTTCAGCAAAATTTTGAATAGTGTCTTAAAATGCATCTTTGCATCCTCATTCCATCCTAGGCATTCCTAGGCCATGTTTAAGACTCTATAATGAGGATAAGAGATTAGAAACACACTAAGAGCCAACGAAATAAGTTTTGTACAATTAGAACGTGTGTTTCAAGTGTGTATCTGTTATGTGTCATGTAGGTCACGTGTCACGTCCTGTCTGATCGATCTGCTCTGTCTATTTGTCTCCAAGCCCACTGTGAGTAATAACTCTGTAAAGTTATGTTTAATCTAAGTATTTTCTGACTGGTATGGTATAATCTATTTTCTGAAATGCTATCTTACTAACGATGAATGAATGTCCAATTTTCTGAAAAGTATTTGTGGCACCCTTAGTTCACGTGGCCTTCGCCCGGGAGTAACAATACCGCGGCCAATCTGCATGTGGCCCTCGCCCGGGGGTAACAATACCGCGGCCAATCTGTACGTGGCCTTTGCCTGGGGGTAACGATACCATAGCTACTTGCGCGCAAGATATGGACCTTTATGGTCGTTGGTACTAACTATGTATGTGGGTCTCTGGACCAATCTGATCTGATAGCTAATGGGTGTACCACGTATGATCTTATGCAAAATCTGAATATGTAAATGTATATGAATCTGTTTCTGTTTGAAGTTTGATTATGCTCTAATTTAAATGCTGGATTCTAACTTGTGCTGGACATCATTCATATAACCCCTTTACCCTGTTATTATTCACTGAGCTTTCGCTCACAGTTTATATTATGTATGTAGGTGACCCGGCACATGACCAGGGCCAGAGTTGACGGCCTTTTGTACTATTTTTGTCAGCCAACCGTTGTGCCTCCCGAGGAGGTTCCGATCGAAGTCTAATGCCATAGTTGTTTTCTTTTGTTTTCATGCTAGTCTCTGTAACTATTTGTAAAGTCAGATCTTGGGAAGTTCACTTCTATAAATATTTTGTAAATATTGTATATCTGGACTGGCACGTTTATATATCTATAAGTAAGTTTTGAAATGTTCTGTCCCATGTACGTCATCACAGCTCATTGGACCTTGTCTATTTTGTATTATTGCTTCCGCAGCCCCGTATTATTTGTTAATCTGTTCAGAGGCCTTCGGTAATCCACGGATTACTGGCCAGTTACGGTGCTAAACCCATAGGGGCGGGTTTGGGTCGTGACACCTTCTCTGCTATTTATATTTCTCAATGATAATTGTCGAAATGAGCTTCTAACTATTGAAGCATCCCTCCATGATCGCTGATCATGCTTCCTCACAGTTAGCTCCACTACGCCATGTCTGTAGTTAGGTTTCTCTCATAATTTTGAATTTGAACCTTGTGAGTAACCGTTGGGCCACATCACCTTATATCCTTTGATCATTCTAGTGTTATACAGACCTATTATTGCCAGTATGGGTTGATACGTGTCTGACTATGGTTGGCGATTTATATTGCCTTTCCAAATTGCCCTTCTCATGCCACGTGTTAAATAATGATTGGCTTTTACAATTTATACAGCTAACATTACCCTCCGCACTAATATATCGAATACTTGGTGATATTAGTGGATCAAAACACTTCACCCACGTCCTAGGACGTGCATGGGTTCACATCTTCTTAGAACTGCAACCGCCTGCATTAAATTCTTTTCCACATCTTGAACATTTCCCATTATCTAAGCATTCGAAAGGACTGAGATAGCTCGCATGGCGAAACAAACTTTCTTTGACATAGATCGAGCATACGAGGAGTTGCTAGATAATAATGTTTGCCCTCGAAAGAATTTTCATGCATTTATTAGTCGCTCCTATCCACCTTCCTATATTCAAGTCATGGAAGCTTTTGCAAACTATCGACCTTTGGATTACGAACCTATTGTTCATAATTATTTAGCCTAAAAGTTTGCAAACATGGATATTGGAAGCTCTTCTTCTGACCCAAAACCTTCTGCGTGGGATGAGGCTGCAGCTTCTTCTTTTTCTTCTAAGACTTCTAGCTGGGGAAGCTGGCCAGAACCTGAGGAATCCAAGTTGAGGGAGCGCATTAATCATCACTTCATCGAATTCGCTGATCTTCCATCTTTCTCTCATTTCGTTCGGAGCTCGGTGGTTTACCCATATGTATCCATTGATCACCGACGCAGTTTGGAAGACAACTTGCTCATAGCATGGTACATGTCTTCCATGCCTACAAAGATTGTGCAAGCTACTCGTCGCCTAGAGGAAGCACAAGGGTATAACCCATCATTCTTAGCCCAGAGGGCAAAATTTTGCTCTTTTGACTGGCTTGACTGCGTAAACAACCCCCAGTTCCCTCATTCTTTTGAGATGGATCCTCTTGCGCCTCCTCTTCCGCAAAACCCTCATTGGGTGAAAGAACTGAGACTTACTCTCTTTGAGAATTAGTTTTTTCCTTCCTATCAACCTCCAACTTTCCCCATTATGTTTGAGCGATATAAAGCTCAGCTACTGCTTGCGGCATTTTCTCACTTTTCCCATAAGAGAGAGAAGAATTATGTAGGCATTTCACAGATACAATGATCTTTGAGTACTGCATGATAAATTGAGGGCGTATAAATTAATCAGCCTTTCCTCATCTTTAGTGCAAAATAGAACAAATGCATTGCAAACAGACATCACTCAAAAAGGAAAAACAAAGAAAGATTACATGGCTCAAAAAGCCTAGAACACCAGAGATAGAGAGCTGCCTGACTTTATCAGGAGACTCGTTATTTTTGTGGATATTATTTGGTGCAGATTGGACATGGTTGAATACAACAGCATAATCTGATGCAGTTGAGATAATCTTCAGCTTTATTGCATATAACAGGAACCTGGGTCTTGTGAGGCAACTCGACTAGGTCCAGCCAATGGAGCAGCAACAACTCCTCTCTGATTCAGCAAACACCTAAAGTGTTCCAGTGATTTGTCGAGGATCCTTTGCAAGGTTGCCATAAGGTGACCAGAGCCTCTCTTCATCTAGGGAAAAAATAAGAGGTTATATGCAAAACAATAACCAAAAAATAAATAAAACTTTCACAAGACATCCACAAAAATAACTTGTAAAAAAAAATGTCTTTTGACAATTGAAATTCACTACCGGAAACATCAAATCCTGGTAAAATATATTATTTTTGTCAAATTTATCCATTTTCTACTTCCCCTTTAATATCCTCCTTTCTCCTTCAATTTATTCTATCCTAAACCTAAAAACTTCATAGGAATAGAAAATTGTATAATTAACACCCCATATTTTTCAGTGAATGATGGAAATATATTAAAAGATTTATGGGGGATTATTTCCTCCTATCATTCTGAACTTTGATAGAGAGATCAATGGTCCAATTTGGTCATTACTTATGAAGCTCTAAGGTGTCACTGAATTCCCCCATCACATGTATAACCTAAGTTTCTATATTCATCGCATGTGTATCACTGCAGAACAGAATTTAACTTTCACTTTAATCAAAAGATTACCAGCAGCTGCTGCAGCACGTGGCCATCTTGTTTGTTCAATATCAGATCCGTCAATATATTCACCCCACATGCATACCTCACCTCCAATAACCAATTCTTGTTGTTTGGGGTTTGTGATATTTGTGAGCGGTGAGTGGTTCATTCATATAGACTTCTGGCCATGTGGTATCCAAATGATCCAAATACCACTTATCTTGGTTGCTTACAATGCACCTCAATCCAGCTGCAACCACTCGCTCTGCAACACCACCCCCAAGCCTGCCACACACACAGTAAGCAAATTGTGAACAATATGGCAACACCAGCCTCAGTGTGCTTCTACCTGACATCTCAGGGTAGAAGAAATAATGTAGTAAAGCAATTAATATTACCCCATCATTAATGCAATATCATATTTCCTTTAAATAGTTCTATAAGAAAGCACAACAGATTCTACCCAAATTTCAATAGCTCTGACAATAATCATACACAGGAGACACGATTTGATTATTGTAGATAGTTTTCATTTGAACTCAACAATCATGTTCATTGATGGTTCTTCTTCTACTATCAAAGAGTTAGTTGATTTCTCCCCCTCTCATAGCATTGGACAAGGTTTTCCTCGTTCACCTTTTCTATATATCATTGCAGAAGGTATTTAGTTGTGAACACTCCAAGCCCCCAAGGGGATGCCTCTGCTTATTTTCAAAAGGTTTCAGATCAGGTGCCATTTCCCCAAACATCAGGGACGTAGGTGATATTAACAGATTCTCAAATGAGAAAAATAAGATACCATTTTTTGTAAAGCCACCTCTCTACATTTGAGAAAATGAACTCACTGAGGCTAATGCCTGAAAACTAAAAAGCAACTGAAGAACATGGATCTAATCCAATTGAGTTCACATCCAGTAAAACCCTCTCCACAGGGAAAGATATACAGGTGCTGCTTTGCCTTTAGTGCTAATATAACTTCCAACTCTCAGAGCCCACCTACAACCCTAAGATATACCTAATTGTCCCACTACTTTAACAACAATAGCTAGAATAGGATGCACAATGAAACTATTTTAACAACAATAGTTAGATGGCATGAACGTCTTTAGGGCATACCAGTTGTGCACCACAGTTTTCCGGCTCAATTTATCTCCAAAGTTGTTGAAGGTCTCTTCCCTGCAATTCTTTTGTGAGCATAATTTATACACAAAACACAAAATAGAACACAAAATCTCAAACTTAAGGCTCCGTTTGGTTTAAATTTTGAAAAGTGTTTTGAGTTTTGAGTTGTATTTTGAAAGACAAGTTGTTGAAAGAGTTTTGAAATTTGAAAATTTGTTTGATTATGAGTATTGAAAATAATTTTAGGATGATTTCTAGTTTTATTTTGATTAATAATTCGTTCACCAAATTTATTTAGCCCAAATTTGCCCGAATGACTCATTCAGGCGAATGGAGGTGATAGTGGGTTAGGTGAAGTGGAGTGTGTGGTGAAGTGGAGGTAGGTGAAGTGGAGTGTGTAGTGGAGTAGGTGAAGGTAAAGATGGGAAATTCTAACAGGATGCACAATTAAACTATTTTAACAACAATAGTTAGATGGCATGAACGCCTTTAGGGCATACCAGTTGTGCACCACAGTTTTCCGGCTCAATTTATCTCCAAAGTTGTTGAAGGTCTCTTCCCTGCAATTCTTTTGTGAGCATAATTTACACACAAAACACAAAATAGAACACAAAATCTCAAAATTAAGGCTCCGTTTGGTTTAAATTTTGAAAAGTGTTTTGAGTTTTGAGTTGTATTTTGAAAGACAAGTTGTTGAAAGAGTTTTGAAATTTGAAAATTTGTTTGATTATGAGTATTGAAAATAATTTTAGGAAGATTTCTAGTTTTATTTTGATTAATAATTCGTTCACCAAATCTATTTAGCCCAAATTTGCCCGAATGACTCATTCAGGCGAATTGGGCTAAATAAATTTAGTGCATGTAGCGGTGCTTTTTTTATTTTTATTTTTTGTAGTTGAATAGATGTGTATGAAAGAAAATTTGATTGATTGATGTGTAAAATGTGAGAGAATGAAAGAAGAGAGATGAGAGAAAAAAAAAATGATTGTTTTATTTATTAATAATAAAAATAAAAAATAAAAAGAGAACAAGAGAGGAGAGAGAAAAAATAATTTTGAAAAGAGTTTTGAAAATTTATTAACCAAACATGTTTTTTGATTTTTTGATTCAAATGTTAATTTAAAAACTAAACCAAACACTACCTAAGATTTTTACCAGTTGATAATTTCATATCCATGGGACAATGCTATTTTCGGAGCCCGCAGGACAAAGTACTGATAAGCTTCGGATTCATTCAGAGCATGTTTCTGTAACCTGAAAATCAGAGAGTTGGTTTTGTAGATGTGTGAGAATGGTTTTCCCAAGTGATCCTCGTGGAAACATTTTTCTCATGTAAACCTTTAACACCAGCCATATAACTTGACCACCAATGGTGGGTGCAGACAATCATTCACAAATTGTATGTTTGAGTAACCCAATGAGTAGAGTAATGCTATTTAGCTTTTGGACACAAGGACAGGTCCAAATGGATTTACAGAGCTAAGAATGACTGAGTCCGGATCCTCTAGAGTGATCCTGTGAAGTGATCCTCTAGAGTGATCCTTCATGGAGCGACACGTGTCCCATTACAGGAACCAATGGCTGAGATGATGCCTAGACAAAACGACGTCGTTTTGCTTCCAAAAAAAAAAAAAAAAAAAATTCAGAATTTGCAGATTTGCAGATCGAGAGAGAAGATGAGGAAGAGGAAAGTGGATTTGAGAGAATCCTGGCTTCACCCATCAATGGACAAGTAACTCTCTTGATGATATCAACACAGTCTCTATTGCACCTTCATTTTGGGAGAATTCACATCACTCTTTCTCTCATCCGATCTTCGATCTTGAACCTTCCATGGAAGTATCATCTCATACCGACATCAACAGGCCCGTGAAAATCCTCAAAATCAACAGTTGGAATTCCTCTAATACCGATCATGTCTCAAACCCGCCTCAAGCCACTTCTTCTCCCAATCAACCCAAATCAGATTAACTAGAACACAGAGAGAGAAAAAGCGACCAACGCAGAACCAGAGACACAGAGAGAGAAGAAGAAGAGAGAGAGTAGAGAGAGAAAGCAAAGGGTTCCTCATCGCTACAGTCCCAGCACTCTCTGCATTTCCAATTCCTAAAGCTTCAAAGCGCATTAATGGCCACAGAGCCAAGGTTGTAAAACCAGAGCCAGAAAATCAATCCCAATGGAGTGCATCGGAGCTCGAAACATCCGCATCCCATTGTTGATCTGCAAAAAAACCTTCAAAAAATCTGATTTTTTTTTTTTTTTTTGATCGAACGGCTCAGAATCAAACTCACCAAAACGACGTCGTTTTGGTGAGTTTGATTCTGAGCCGTTCGATCACCTACTTTAGGAGATCACTCTAGAGAATTAACTCTAGAGGATCCGCTCGCAGATCTGACTAGCATAGTACTGTAAATCAAGTGTAAGAGGTCTGAAAACAGAGTGCGAGAATTTGTATCACTGAAGAGGCGAGAAGATGTAGATAGTAAGCTGGAGGGAAGGGGATTAGCTGTCTGGGTGAGAGCAGGGCTAGCAAATCACAAAAGGATATGGCGGTATTCAAAGTGGCAAGGACGACTCCTTTCCCAAATGCTCTCTTTCGAGTTGTGGGAATTGAATCATAGTTATAGGCATTCTTGGTTCACAAGGAGGTCAAATAGTCAATAGGGTGATGCCATGTGTCACAAGGATCACAAGGGAATATTCCTTCCCCTAACTGCTAAGTCGTGGTGAGTAGGTACTTCATAGGTCCCTCGGATCGGCCTTCTCAGGAAGACTACTTGGGCAATCCCTACTCTTAGCCACCAAGCCACATGATCCTCAATGTCCCCGTGTGTGTCATAGTATAGTCTTGTACCAACCACACTATAGCCGCACAACAAACTTGAGGGGCTTCTTGAGTCCCACCGTCTCAACCGAGGCAGACTCACTTTGTGGGAGTGATTTCATCTATGAGGAGGTATTTTTTGCTTTCAGATCTCACTCTCGCAATCTTCGAGCAAGCCATGATTTTGACATGCCCCTGACACTTCTGATTGTCACAAGCCCTAGGAGGATTGTGTTCTTAAGGGGTTCCCCATTAGGTTCTAAAACTATAGATTCCCCCTCAGTTAGTTTTTGTTGGTTAATAGAAGTAACAAAATAATTGAAATTAAATATTTGTAAGAGGTCTTTTTTATAAAAAAAAATTCTTGTGCTAATTAAGTAAACAAATAATTTGATAAAGGAAGCTAGAAACATAGAATTCTGAATTTCTTTCTAATGATGGTAGTTTGATATTTATGTGTGTGCATGTGTTGGTGCGAGAAACAGAGGATGATGAAGGAAGGAGCTGAAAGAGATTGGGAAATGAAAAAGAAGTGAAAAAATGAAAAAGAAGTGAAAAAATGAAAAAGAAACACTAGTTTTCCAGTTACAAGGTTAAAATTGATATTTCAAAAAATAAAAATTGCTGACATCACACAATCCATTCATTTAGCTTAACAGTTGACTAACAGAAGGGGGCATTTGTAATGCAATTGGAAACTTCATGAGGTAGGGGGAAATTCTATTTCTACACATCCTTTTGTCTTTGTGTACACATTTAATGAAAGACACTTTTAACGACAATTTTACCATGAAGTAAAATGACCATAATGGACATCAATACACACACTAAATATAAAATCCAAGTTTTCTCTGTACACATCTTTTAAAACAACAATTCTCAGTGCACATTTTTTGGAAAAACAAAAAACTACAACCTAGTTCCTCCATTGTTTCTCACTTACTCTATTGTCCTCCATTGCTTGCTACACTCCATTGTTACGCTCTATTGTCCTCCATTGCTTGCATAAAATACTTTGAATTGCTCTCTAGGTTCGTTCTCCGTTGTTTATACCGTTTTTCCCATTAGAATCCACTATCATTCTTGATTTTATTGATGGAAGATTTGCAAAATATAAAAAATTCAAAAGTACAAAACCAAATAAATGTAAAAAATTCAGAAATTAAGTACCGAAAACCTATAAACAATTTGAAGGTACAAAACCGAAAACCTATAACCAATTTGGAAGTATAGAATTGAAATGTTCAAAAAAAATCGGAAGTAAACAACTGAATAAGTCTATTTTATTCGGAAAACCAATACCGAAGGAGCAAAACCAATTTTATTTGGAAAAAATCAACCGATTATCGAAAATGAGAGATAGGTACACATTGCTTACGAAATGGAAGGAAGATATGAACTGGGAAAAACCAAATTTGTTCTAATAACTACGAAATGGGAGGGAGATACACATTAATTACCTTCAACAATGCAATGGAGTTCATTATAGGTCTTCAATGGAGTTGTGTTTTGCTAGAAGAGGGGTCTTCAATGGAGTTGTGTTTTGCTGGAACAGTCACCGTGGGTGGGTGGGTGTGTGGAAAAGTAATGTGTGGGCCTCTGAAGGGTTGGAAGGTGTGTGGAAAACCTATTTAGGTGGTGTGTGTACAAGATGTAAGTTAGGGGTATAATTGGAACATGTGGTGTGTGGAATGAGAATAATAACATATAACCAAATTCATAAGTGTGTGAACTGAGATATGATGTGCACAGGGATGGAAGGGTGTGAACATAGAATTTCCCTATGGTAGGAGGTAATTTCTAGAATCTCAAGCTGTCAAATGTATTTTTCAAAAACCTTACAAGAGCTAATTGTAATTTACCTGATTTGTAAATACAGTTCAAGGAAGAAACAAAAGAAAATCCAACGAAATGGAAGGGCTTGCTTTGAATTTCTCCTACTTGCTCAAATTTGACACTCATTTTTCACCTACAAGGTCAAATACCTATCTAAGGCAGTAAAGATCACAAACGGGTCAATGCGCAGAGCACCATTCATTTTTTGTAAATGTTTTCGGTTAGCTTAGAACTGGAACAATTGGTATGCATTTAAGAAAGATAGTAAGACGCAAGTAAAAATTCATTAGTGCCTAAATGTACAACAAACGCTTGAATTTTCATGAAAACATTCATACATGTGAAATCGTGAAACAAGATATGGTTGGATACAAAAAATAAGCCTGCAAAATTTAGAGCATGACACCCACCCAGTTTAGAGAACAGGTGTGGAGTTATACTAAATTTATTTGGTTCTTTAATTTGCTTTTGCATTTGTATGCAGGCTGCATCTCTCGATGCTTTTTTCAATAAAATTTTACTTGTAATAAAAACAAACAAACAAACAAACAAATTGTGCCAGAACATCGCCAAAACATTGCAAGGAAATCAAGAACTACATTAATGTCAATAGCTAATACTCCACACACCACCTCCAAATGCAATCCACCCGCCCTTCCACGCCAATAAAATAATAAATGAAAAAGAAGAAAGATATTAATTGAATAGCTCTTGTACATATAAACATGATGCAACTTTTTTGACTTCCACAAGAATTCTGCTTATGCTAAAAACATCTTTAGGGGTAGAAGCAAGAAACTTAGTGAACAATGTTGGGTATACCTCCTTATTGGAGTGTGGGACCTAATTGGTTTGTTAAAGAATTTTAATTTGACTTGGTTTAGGTGTAATATATTTTTATATATTATATTTGAGGAGACCCAATACAATTTGGATACAATTAGGGCTTGATTACAAAACCCTAGATTAACAATATATATATATTGTTTTAGTGTGCTGTGCCGTTGATACAGAACAACATTGAAAACAAATTTGGTGGGTTTGTCAATTGGTGTTGATTGTGTAAGTTGACTTGGTCAAATTCAATGCCTTGTTGCTGTGTTGGTTCGGTGGGCTGTTTTGGATTCGGCTGTTTGGGTTAATGATTTTGGGTCTTCTTCAACTCTGATTCTGAAGACTTTGGTTCATCTATTTGGTGACATCTTTCCTCTTGTTTATTTGTGATTATTTGGAATTCACCTAAGGGTGATTTTGTGAGACCATTGGTGTCTCGTTTGTACTCGTTTGGAACTTATTTGGTTGATAGTGGAATCGGATTTCGATTCCGTGGATGTACCTTCCATTGAGGGAACCACGTAAAAATTCTTGTGTTGCCTTTGTTTTAATTTTTTCGCATTAGTTTTTATTCTCATTGATTGATTTACTTGTGGAGAATCACTCACATTGAGGGAACCACGTAAAAATTCTTGTGTTGCCTTTGTTTTAATTTTTCCGCATTAGTTTTTATTCTCATTGATTGATTTATTTGTGGGGAATCGCA